ACGGCATCGCGCAGGCCGCGGAGCGCCGCCCAGCCCGGCGCCCTCCGCAGCCGCTCCTCCAGGGCCGCCGAGTTGCTGCGCAGCGTCTCCGGTCGTAGGGCACCTTCTGGGCCGGGCCCGGCTTCGCCGTCCCGCTCACCAGGCCCAGCGGGCTGCTGCCGCCGCCGCAGCAGCAGCTCCAACGCCTCCACCACCCGCTCCAGCTCCGGGCCCGGCTCCGCACCGCCCGCCATCTCGGGGCTGCCGTGAAGGGGAGGAGCGCGGCTCTCCGCCGCCATCTTGGGGAGGTCGGGCGAGGGGGAGGAGCGAGGCTCTCCGCCGCCATTTTTGGGAGGTCGGGGAAAGGGGCGGAGCGACACCGCCCGCCGCCATCTCGGGGGAGCCGCCCGCCCGCCGCCATCTTGGGTGGGGCGGCGCCATCTTGGGGCCTGGGCTGAGAGCGGCAAGCTGCCTGCTCCGGTGGCTGCTCGGGTCTCGTCTTCTTCCCAGGAGGGAGAGCAGGAGATACAGCTGTCCCCTGCCCGGCCAGGCTTGGCCTGACGCCGGAGTGGGAGGCCGGCAATGTAGGCCCTCGTCCCTGCTCCCCACAGGTGTCAGCAGCATCCACGCCTCTGGCAGGTCAGGTATTTCAGGGGAGCTCCCACCCCAAGGCTTGCCCCTGCCCCGAGCACAAGCTCTGGCTGCATCCAGCAAAAGTTAGCATCTTGCATTGAGAAAACAGTTCTGTCTACAAAGGGAGAGCCCAAACACATTTCCATATCGTAATGGGGGTGTAGAGGCAGAGGTGTGCAAGATGGGCATTACCACCTGCTCTTGGGGTCAGTGGCTAGACTTGCCTTTGGAATAAACAGTTTATGTGTGTGTTGCAAAGTACATAAATCAGCAACTTGCCTGCCGAGGACTAACAAGGCAGGATGACTGCAAATCCTTTGCCAGCCTCCTAGGCTGCTGCATGTTTGAAAGCCTTAAAGCACTGTGAGGTACGTTATTCTTTTACGTTTCCTTACTGGGTAGGGCCTCTGAAGGGCAGTCGGAGCAATTACAGGGTTGGATAAACATCAGCGATCTCTCACACTTGCTAACAGCCTCGCCTCTGCTGCATGGCCCACGCAGGTCAGGGTGTTGGGCCAGGCACTGCGCACACAGGGCACAGCCACCATGATAAGGCACAAACTGGATTTTCACATCATATCTTTCTTCTTTCCCTAAGGGCCTGTCCAGGCAGACTCGGCATGAGGCAAAGCCATGACCTGCTGTTAGCTGCCAGCCCTGCCTCCTCACGGCCCCTGGTGCTGAGAAAACACGCGCTGTGGTACGGATCCATCCCTGTTACACAGAGCTGGGCATTTGCCATCTGCCCTTTGGAGGCAGCAGCAGCCATAGCTGCACAGAGGAACGGCTCTCTACAGGGCACGCCAGCCTCTGAGTACGGACACAGGCAGTGAAACCAGCAGAGCTGCACACAGAGAAAAGGGCTTTCAGTTTTCTTAAAAGAATTTATTATTTCAATTTTATATAAAAACCATAGAATCAATTAACACTAGACCATTGCTGGCTTCCCAGAGGGCATCAAAACCCTTTCCCATGATAAAAAATACAAACCATGACAACAGCTAAACACATTGTTCAGAATTTGAGTAAAGCCATTTGATTTCCAAAAGCGCCTTTCATTGACTGCACAATAATTACACCTGGCACGACAGAAGGAAATCATATCATAATTTGGGATAAAGAAAAATAGAGATCTGCCTCTATGTACTCTATCAAATATAATTCCCTCACGTATAGCACGTGATGGCACATCTTTGGTCTGCTTTTATCGATCATCTCGCCCCTCTCCAGCAGAGGCGCATTGCTGGGGCCACCCTGCTTCGCAGGCGCCGGGTTTGTGAGCCGAGCGCGGCGGCAGGTTGGCACTTGTGTCGGAGCTGGGAGCACGAGGTATTTCAGAGAGCGCCAGAGAAACGCTTTTTCCCCCCACGGCAAAGGAAGGGAGGCAGCGGGGCCTGTCCCTGCCGGGGAAGAGGAGCTGATCCTGGCTCGCGCAGCCAGAGCACCTTGGCTCCAGGACGGGGAACGGACCGAAGGGCTCCATGTCCCGCCTGGAGCCGAGGGGGGCCAGGAAACACACAGGGTCCCCAAACCGACCCCCCCAGCCCCAGTGACCCCAAGCTTCCCCTGCACTGAACATGGGGGATGTGAATATCAGGTTGAGGGGGTGTTGGAGTGGGGTTTGGCCACCCCCCCGGGCAAAGACTGACGTGAGTCCAGTTGGGTGAAATGAGGTGAGCTGCCTGCGCTGGGCGGCTGCCGGCCGGACCGGAGCCACAGGAGGATCCTAGTCATCCTCCTCCCCACCGCCGTAGAGGTCTGCCAGCTTCTTGAAGCGGCTGCCCCAGTCGTTGAGGTAGTCGTAGTCCTGGTCGCGGTCGGAGGCAGAGGAGTTGAGGGAGCTGAGCGAGGTGGCCTCCGAGCCGCTGCCCTCGTAGTCGAACACCAGCAGGGAGTCGTAGGGGGGGGCCGTGGGGTCCGTGTCGGCCGCTTTCAGGTTCTGGGGGGGGGTAGCAGAGGGGTCAGTGCCCATTCCTGCTGGGCTGGGGGGCACTCCAATGGTGCCTCCGTGGATGAGGGGCTTCATCCCCCTGGTTCCCCCCCCGAGCACCACATGGGACCAGGGCTCACCTCATCGATGAAGTTTCCGATCTCATCAGGGTTGGCGGGCCGGGGCCGGTACTGGGGGGCAGCCATCAGCGGGGGGGCCACGTCGTTGCGGATCACTTCTGGGCGGGCGTCCAGGCCCCGGTGCAGCTGGCTCAGATCATAGTCCTGCATAGGAATGGAGAAGGGGGGACATGAGGAGACGACACTCGAGGGACAACCACAGGCATTGCCGCGCTGCGACTTGGGGCACCAGGATGTGCAGGGTACTGGGTGACTGCAGGAGGGGACACAGGGGCGAGCAGGTCCGCAGCAGCATGCTGCACCCCAAGCATCCGTTGCGGCTTGGGGAGCAAGACTACCCCCCGCCGCAGGGAGGGTGCCGCAGGGATTCCACAGGCAGGGTCCGGTCCGGCACAGTCATCCCACCTGGTCCTCCTCGCCGCCACCTTCCTCGTCATAGTGGTAGACGTTGTCCCGCATGTCGTCCTCGGGCGGGAGCAGCGGCTCCTTCACCACCTTCCTCCGCCTGGCGAAGAGCAGCAGCAGCAGTAGCAGGACTGCGAGCAGAGGGCACTGGTGTCAGGGCGTCAGGGCAAGGGTGGCCCTGTCCCCATCCCGTCCCTGTCCCGTGGTACTCACTCAGCAGCGCCAGGATGGCCCCCAGGATGCTGAGGATGGCGGGGACGCCCAAGCCGCTGGCGATGTACGCTCGCCGCTCGCAGTTTTTGGCCGGCCCTTCGCAGTCGCACACCTGAGCTTTCACCGGCGTCACCTGCGCCTTGCCCTGGCTGTCCGTCAGCCTCAGGAAGATGTTGTACTCCCCCGGCTCCAGCTGCTTCACCAGGCTCAGCACCAGCAGGTCTTGCGCAGCAGAGAGAGGGGTTGGGCTCAGAGACATGTCCCCGCTTCCCCAGTTTAGGGACACCCTTGGCACCGGTGCAGGGCTTTGCCATGTGGCAGTTCCCCAGCCTGGTGCCTATCATGGGGGCCAGCACCAGCTGCGCTTGGGGGGGGCACAGAGAGCCAAGGGGGGGCTGGGATCTGGCCCTCACTCAGCATCTCCCCACCACCCCACGCCAAGGGTGGGTGGCCAAGCCAGACCAGGCAGCACCTTACCTTGTCCGGTCACCTTGACAGTCCAGTTGGCACTGGAGCCGTGCTCCAGCGCTGCCTGGAAGGGGTAGGTGTTGGGGGGCAGGTCCTTGTCGACGATGTTCAGCGTCTGCTCCTCCGGCTGCCGGCTGCAGATGTCGAAGAACCGGGGCTCTGGCATGGGCCCGTTGTCGTTCACGTCCTGGAGGAGGAGGAGCAGCGTCCCCGTGCCGGTGGCATCCGGCGACCCTGTGGGGCCGGAGGTTAGCAAGGCACCTGAGGAGGGGGTCCCGGTCCCGACCCCTGCCCCAGGAGCCCCAGTGGGACACAGGTGGGCGGCAGCAGCCCCTTCCCAAAGGGCAAGGCAGGGCGCTCCTCACCGCTGTCCACAGCCAGGACGATGGCCTTGTAGGTGCTGTTGATGGCGTGCACCGACTCCCGGTCCAGCGGCTGGGCTACCGTGACAAAGCCGTTCTCGGGGTCGATGGCCAGCCACCCTGCGGGGTCACTGCCCATGCGGTACCTGGGGCAAGCGAGGGGTCAGTGGGGGACGGGATGCTCTGCAGAGTGGGGGGGGAAGGGGCACACAGCACAGCGGGCACAGTGCAGCCCCCCCAGGCACCCCAGCACAGCCCCCTGCCACCGACCCTGCCCCACTCACGTGATTTTCTGCCTCTGATCCCTGTCTGGGTCCTGGGCCGTGTAGGAGGTGATCTGGTGCCCCATTGGCAGGTCCTCCATCACCTCCACCCTCTTGACGGGGGGCACGAAGACAGGCGCTTCGTTCATGTCTCCAACCAGCACCAGGACGCTGGCCGTGGAGAGCGGCAGGGGGACGGTGAAGGGGACAGCATTCTCCACCGTTACCAGGAGGTTGTACCGGCTCCTGGTCTCATAATCCAGGCCCTGGAGGAGGGTAGGAGAGAGGAGCCGGGGTAGTGCCAGTGCTGGCGGGGAGGCAGCTGGCAGTGGGGCAGCTGGCACCGGTGGCAGGACCCACCTTGGCAGTTTTCAGAATGCCATCATTGGTTTTGGGGTCGGTGGTGATGCTGAAGTCGCCATTCTGGTCCCCACTCTTGATGCGGTAGACGGCTTGCCAGGCAGGGGAGCCCTGCATGTCCTGGTCTGTCACGTGCAGCCGGGCCACCACCACTCCCACCTCGTTCTCGTTCACCGTCCCCTCGTACTGCAAGAGAGGGGACAGGGACAGTCACCCACATGGTCCCGGGCACCCCCGGGGTGGAGGGGCTCATGCCATGATGGCCCGGGGAGGGCAGTGGCTCGGGGGAGCCGGCTCAGGTACCGCAGTGGGGTCAAAGACAGGAGGGTTGTCGTTGGCATCGGTGACTTCCACGATGGCAGTGGCAGTGTTGGTCAGGCCACTGCCCTCCTGGTCCGCAGCCTGGATGATCAGCGTGTAGTTGGGAGTGGTCTGCAAGACGAAATCACTACTGTTAGGGCAGGGATGGGGTCCAGCGTGTCCCCCTCCTCCGGGAGCATCACCTGCCTGCTCCTCCAGCCTTCTCCAGCCAAGGCGTTCACCGCCGGCACAGATGCTTGCCGACGTCCCCACTGCCCACCCAAAGGGCTGGCACTCCACCCGCTCCCGGGGCTCAGCAGGGCTGGGGGCCCTGCAATGTCCCCAGCACAGATCCCTGATGGGTTTGGGGCTGCAGACACCCCAGAGCAGGGGACGGTGACCCAGGGATCACAAGTGCCCAAACCAGCCAGACACCAGGGCTCTGGCATCCCTGGCTCCCTGCAGCAAGTGCCACCGCGGAGCTGCCACGTGGTCCCCCAGGACGCGGCAAGGGCGCCCACCTCCCGGTCCAGCCCTGTGCCGATGACACTGATGACACCCTTCTGCGGGTCGATGGTGAACATCCGTTGCGCGCTCTTGGGCTCCTCACTGAGGATGGAGTAGCCGATGATGCCGTTGTTCACGTTGATCGCATCGTCTGCATCCGTGGCGTTCACGGTCATCACGGATGTGCCTGGGCATGGGGACAAGCAGGGGAGGTTTTACTTGTGGGACAAAACCCACTGGACACCCCAGCACAGCTCCGGCTCAGGGGTCTGCATGAGGCCCCCGGCTCATCACTCCCCCATGCACCTGGTTTCGCGTTTTCCTCGATGTAACCGATGAAGACTTGCTTGGTGAAGATGGGCCGGTTGTCGTTCTGGTCCGTCACGGTGATGATGATCTCCATGGGGTCCTCCACGGGCTGCCCGTTGGCCGCCACCGCGTGGGAGAAGAGCTGCGAGGGGCACCGTCAGCCCACGCGTGGCCCCAGGGACCATCCCCTCCCCATCCCGGCCCCCCACTCACGACGTATTTGTCGATCTGCTCCCGGTCCAGCGGCTTCGTCACCTCCAGCCACCCTGTCTCCCGCTCAATGATGAAGACACCCACGGGGGGGGTGTCCGCCCCCTGCCCTGTGATGCTGTAGAAAACCTTGGTCTCCTTGTCCTTGTTGGATTTGATCTGGTGGTGAGGCGGAGGGGGGGTTAGAGGGGTCCCGGTGCTCCAGGGACCCCCCTGCTGTGTGCCCTGTCCCCACGGGGCCGCATACCTGCACCAGCTTCTTGGGGAAGGGCCCCCGCTCGTTCTCGGGGCAGTTGATGGGGGGGATGACCCAGTCCCTCTTCTGCCGCCGGAGGCCATGGCCGGGCTCGGGGAAGGTCAGCACATCAGGCTGTGTGTGCGTGTCCTGCGGGGAGAGTGGCACGGCTCGGTGCTGGCACCTTTCAAGCCTTCTGCACGCTCTGCCCTGGGGAGAGGGGCTGCAGTGAACCGGGGGAGAGGGGCTGTGCTTTACCTGCTGGTGGTGGTGACGGCGGTGCCACTGCCTGCGCAGGGTCACCCTGGCCGAATGCTTCTTGCCTGAGGCGTCCCAGGCGTGGATGGGGAAGCTGATCTCCCGCTGCCGGAGCTGCAGAGGCCGGGTCGCAGAGACAACACCGTCCCTGCTCACCTTGAAGCGCGTGTCATCCGAGAGGTACGTCGTGTGCCGCTGCTCGCCGCAGTCCACAAAACTCACTGGGGACAGGGAGAGCGAGTGGGCAGGGAGGTCCCGGTGCTGCCCCGGTGGGAGCTGCCGAGGACAGGGCAGGCACCATGGGACGGGCAGGCAGGAGGGTGCAGGACAGCATGACACGGACACACACAGCACGGCCACGGCTCAGATGCACGGGGGGAACGACCATGGGGGTCACAGGCGTGGCAGGGATGCACCACGCACGGTGCCACGTGCCCTGCCGGGATCCTGTCTTGGGCACGGGCAGGGAGTGCAGCATGACGCATGGTGCATCCTTGCCGTGGCTTTGGTGCGGGATTGGGCACGGCACAACCTGCTGTACCATGGGATCTCCACCGGCCCGTGACAACGGGGCAAATGGCACTCAGCACAGCGTGTCTCTGCTGTGCGTGGCACATCCATGTCTATAGCACTGCGTACGGCACATCCCTGCCTTGTGTCACATCCCCATGGCATAGCGTGTCCCCGTGTGCGGCACGTCCCTGCTGCCGTGCCAGCGGGCAGAGGGTGCTGCTGCTCTGGCTGCTTTTCAGATAAAAACAAGGGCAGCACCTGCTCACCTGTGCTGGTACCCAGCCCCCCAGCAGCTGATCCACAGGGCACTGCAGGCTGGTGGATTACATTGACCCAGTGCCTGGGGACCCGTGGGGTCCCCAAGCCCCCGCGTGGCCGGGGACCATAGCCATGTGTCCGCAGCAGGGACATCAACCTGTGCAGCAGGAAGGTGCCAGCCCCGGTGCGCTCGCGGCGCAGGGTGGCAGCCGGGGCACCCAACCTGCCCAGGCACCCTTCAGGACCTCCGACACCTCTGCTGCTGGGGGTCCCCAGGGACAGCAGGCACCCACCGCAGACCGGGGCAGATGGTGTCCTGGCATCACCAGCTTGGCACCCTGCTGGGGCGTGGTACGAGCCGGGACCAGCACGCGGGGGGCCGCGGCCAGCCCAGCGGGAGGCTCCGAAGGGTGCTTCGGCAGTCAACAGGCATCACATGAGCTGGGGCCGCGCTGCCGGGAGCTCCCGAACAAACACCCTTTGTCTGGGAGATGGTTTGTTTGAGCCAGCGGCACCCCGGCTGGAGCCCTTGCCAGCGCAGCCGCCATCGGCCCCGGCGTGACCCGCACTGCGCAGAGCGAGCGTCGGGGCTGCGCTGCGGGAAGGCGACGTGTCCGGGGTGGGAGGCAGAGCCGCACGCCCCGACGCTGGGCACGAGGCCGCTGCTGGGGCTGGGTCCGCCATCCCATGGGGTTACGTCAGGCTGCGAGCAGCCCAGGAATTTGGAGGTGGCGGTGGGATGGAGGTGGGTGGGGAGCGATCACCAAGCTCTGGGCTGGGGGCTGCCACCCCCCTGTTTGCCATGTTGGCCCCCAACCCAGCCCGGGCAGCCGGGCAGGATGCGCCGGCACGATGCCAGCCCAGCTCGGCCCCGCGGCGGGACCCCCGGCAAAGGCTGTGGGCTGGGGGAGCCGGTGAGGCCGGCTGGGCAGGAACGTGCCAGGACAGGTCGGGTGCTGCCGCAGCGGGGGCTGGTGGTGGGGAGAGGCATCCCGGCACCCATGGGCGCAGGCGCAGCGCTTGGCACCCGGTACCTGGCACCACGCCGGATGGGTGCAGCAAGTGGGCAGTTCTCAGCCCCCAGCCCCACACCGAGTGCAATGAGTGCTCGGTGCTCAGCACCCGCTCCCCCCGCTTCCCACCCGGCCATGCACAACCTGTTTTTCCAGCTCCTCCGTTGAAGGAAAGCTGTCCCCAGCCATCCCCAGCCCTCCCCTCCCCGGGGCTGGGAACCAGGGGGCCCTTCCCCTCTCCAGGAGCAATGGGGCAGGAGGCGAGGAGAGCTGGGGGGGGGGTCCTTTGGGGGGATCCCCCCCTTCCAGGACCCCTGCCACCACCCACAGGGTGCTGGGACTCCCTGCATTACCAGGCTGCCTACTGGGGCAGGGGGATGAGACCAAGCACCAGGATGGGGACCAGGGCAGCCCCCCCAAGCCACCCCACATCCTGCAGTGTCTTGCTGGGGCTGAGCACAGGCTGACTCACGGGCAGAGCCGGGTGCCACCAACCCCGGCTGCCACCACCCTGGCGGTGACCACACCGCGATTGCGCAAACACGGCTCTGCCGGGGCGGAAACCGGCGATGGTGGCGGCGGGGTAACTCGCGTCAGCCCGTGGGCAGCTGGGGTAAAGGTGCTTTGAGTGGCACGTCCCGCCAGCGCACCCGCTGACGTCACCCGAGTTTCGCTGTGACTTCAGACTCTCGAGATTCCCCCACCCAGGGCTCATGGGGGAGCGTCTCAGCCTCCACCATGTCCCGTGGGGCCATGACACCCCAGAGACACCCCCCCACCCCACCAACACCCGCCGAGCAGAACCGTAGGGTCCCGACCCGGTCCTGGGGACGCCATGGCCCCCGTGCAGGTGTTCGCCTCCCCGGCCCAGGCACCACGCGGGGCTTGTCCAGACCTGTTGGAGGGAAAACACCGTGCTCAACTCATCAGCCTAATTACAGGCTGGCTCGTTAGCCCGCCCTCGCCACGGCCTGGCCGCAGGCTTTGGTGCGCTGCATGGCGCGGGGGGTGGCATTGCCGAGCGCCCACCGTGCTCATCCACCCGCGGGGCCAGGCATCACCAGGCTGGTACATGGTGAATACGGGCAGCCGTCCCCTTCCCTCCTCCCAGGACACAAAACTGGAAGTGCTGGTGCTGGGATGGGGATTTCCAGCAGGTCCCGGCACTGGAGACACCGAGGCGGCGTGGCTGCCCATGACCCTGCTATCGGGCACAGCCCTAATGGACACAGGCTGCTGCATCCGGGCAGCTTCGTTAATGATCAACCAAAGGTTAACGAACGGGCAATTCCTGAGGTGTGGGGCAGGGTCTGGCTCCTGGCTTGATACCCGCAGCCCAGGCGAAGCCATTCCAGAGCCAGGGAGATTTGGAAGCCCCCAGTGCAGTGCTCAGTACTCTGCACCCCTCAGCCCCGTGCCCACCCCAGCCACCCCCGGCAAACCATGGTGCCGGCACCACCGTCAGCCATTAACCAGCGCAGATGGCGATGGCCCAAGCGCTGCCCTGGGAGCCTGCACCATGGATCAGGGGGGTGCAGATGTGCAGAGCACCCCAAAGCAGCAGCAGGTCCCCGGGCACACCTTTTCCCGGTGCCTCCCCTGCACCCCGAGGGCCGGCAGCACCCGGCTGCCCCGGCCGGGGCTCGGTGCCACGGCAGAGGGAGGCTGCTGGCAACCCGGGTTGGGGCCCAGCCTGGCACAGCCATCATGGCCACACAGGGAAGGCTCAGTGCCAGCACCCGCCACACTGGGACTGGGATTTTGTGCCGGCGTGGTGAGACACCACCGTCCCCACACCAAAAGCCACCCGAGGAGGCGCGCTAGGGGCTCTGCTCTGTGGCCACGAAATGTGGATTTGCCCCCACGAACCCTGGGTGCCGGGACCCCACGGGCGGGCGAAGCGCGGGGCAGGACGGGCGCCTGCACGGCCCCACACCCCAGCCTGCCGGCCTCAACAGGTCTGCGCCGCCTGAGTCAGCGCCGCCCGCGCCGGCGCACCCCGGGGAGAGGCACCCGCTGCCCCCGCGACCCGACGCCATTCTGCCGCCGTGGGAACACCGGTGCCAGCGCTGCCCCGGACCCTCGGCGTGGTCCCACCGCCGTGCGCGGAGGCTCAGCCACGACTCTGTCCCCATTGCCACCTGCGGCGGTACACGCTGAGCCTGTCCCCACCACGATGGCCTCGTCCCCACCGCCACGGCACTGTCCCCCACGGCCCCGTCCCCGCAGCCACCCACGGAGCCACAGAGAGACCGTCCCCGTTGCCACCCTGGCACCAATCTAGCACCGACCCACGGCTTCGTCCCCCATCGCCACCTCCAGCGCCACGCACCCAGCCCGTCCCCACAGCTCCCCACCTTACCGTGTCCCAGCGCCCGTCCCGCCACCACGCCGTCCGGTGCCACGGCGAAGGCAAAGGTCTCTTTGGCAAAGCCGGGCTGGCACGGTGCTGCCAGCCAGTGACCAGCCTGCCCGGAGAGAGACATCAGTCCCGGGTAGGGTCCTGCCACCCCGGGCAGGGTCCCACGGTCCCGGGCAGGGTCCCACGGTCCCATCCCTCACCTGGAGGAGGAGGAGGAGGAGGCAGAGCGGGGCCGGGCAGCCCCCCCGCCGCCCCATGGCTAGTTGCCGGTACGGTGCCGGAGGGATCGGGA